ACCGAATTGTAGCATTCAAGTGCATGAAGTAGACATTTCCATTTGGCATAGTCTGCGATAACATCCTTTGATACTTCTTCCAAACTGTTGCAGTTAGTGAAAATGAATGTAGAATGGATCTGATCAGTCATCAATGGAATGGCCAGCGGATACGTAACACGTTCCAGTCTGCGACATCCATGAGCATCTAAGAACTGAAGCTTTGAAGGAAGAGTAGGTAGATGTCTGAGATTGACACAATGCTTTAAGTCAAGCCACTTCAGATGATAAAGTTGACCAATGTCATCTTCTAGGTCGATGATCGTACTATTTCCACTTAAGCATAAACGCCGTAGTGAGCCATTGAAGTGAAATATTGTTGGAATCTCTTTTACTCTTGTGCCATCAACCAGTAAGATTCGCAAACATTTCATGTCTTCTGTGTCCATTGGAAAACTCTGGAGCTTTGAACAACCAGAGAGAATAAGGTCTTCAAGAGCTATCAGCTTTCCAAGAGAATCAGGAAGATGCTCTAGCATTTTACAACCTTTTAAATTTAACAAGGCAAGTCTCTGGAGATTCCCAATGGCTGGAGGAAGTCCCTTCAGTGAAGTGCCATCTAAGTACAAAGCTTCTAAATTTTCTGATATCACCTCAAATTCCTGAAGTTTGGAGCAGCCACTGAGGATGAGAATTGTCAGAGAGCTCAGGTTCGTCTTTGGAAGATTTCGGAGACGCTTGCATCGCCTCATGTTTAAGAAAAGAAGACTCTTCATATTTTCCATATCTTCCGGCAACTTAACCAAACTTGTGCAGCCTTCCAGGTTCAATCTTTCAAGATTATGAGCATTTGACAACCCTGACAGATCACTCAATTCATGGGAGTGACTGAGATCAACCCACTTAAGGTTTGGTGTATCCTGTGAAATTAAAAGAACTTAAGACATATTTCAGCTAAACAGTAGCAAGGGAAGACATAGAGACATACCTTAACACCCTCCCAGATCTGTCTAATGGAGCTGTAAGGCAAGCTAAGATGGACAAGATTCATTGCGTTGAAGTCTGATGGAAGCTTCTCCAATGGGAATCTCAGCCAGTCAAGACACCGCACTTCATCTAATGTGAACTGAAGCTCCTCAGGAACTTCTATTAACCAGTCATCATTGCATCCCAGCGGACAATCAGAATTGTAGATCTTGAGATATCGAAGATTGCACATACCGCTGAAGGTGTTAGTATCAAAGCTCATTTTCTCCTTGATTTCAGACATATCTAAGAACACACCCCTAACCCTTTCCATTTCCTTTAACCAATTTAAGACAAACAATTAGTACAATGATTCAAGGTTTGTTTCAAATATTTGTAAGCTCTTGTAACAAATAAATCTTACCGAGTTGTTCTCCAGCACACGAATGATGTCCTGGTGGTTCCACAGCCTGCATTTAGCTCCCTTGTTGTCAAAAGTTGCTTGTGAAGCAAGTTCCGTACCAAATGTACACAGTACATCATCCATCTCTACTTGACCGCCAGAATATTTAGCAAGGAGCCTATCTGTGAGCACACAACCCCAAGCCTCAGTTAACTCAGAATCACGCAAATCCAACAAACATCTTACATAACTTAGAGACTCCGATCTGAAAAAACAAGCAATGTCAAGAAATGCATCTTTCTGATTTTCACTGAGTTCATCATATCTTCCACGCAAAGCATCTTGGATCATCTTATTGGAAATTTGAGCAAGTGTTTCCATTCTCTGTTCCCAGTAAGCCTCCTCTTTGCCACAAAGTTCCACACCCAATGCCTTGAGAACTAATGGGTTACCTTTCGCGTAATCCAAAAACCTTTTAGAAAGCTTCTTGAACTCTCCCTCGAGAGCACAAATTTTACGATCCGAGACATGATAACTGAAGTACTTTAAACTGTCTGCGTCGTTCAATCTGCGGACTTCATAAAAATCGTCAACTAAATCCCGGAGCAGCGACTCATCGCTTGTTGTGATAACAATCTTGCTTCCTTCCTTAATCCAGTCTCCGTTACCAAGAAGTGATTCAATCTGTCTCATTCCATTAACGTCATCAAGAACAATAAAAACTTTCCTTTTGAGTAACTCGTCTTTCCAAAACTCATGTGCATCCACTGCATATTCCATGTTGGGATGAGTGTCTTTCAATAGCTCTTCCAAAAGCCTCTTTTGCAATGAATCAAGTCCATGTATCCTAAGCATCTTGCTTACTTCTGCTAAACAAATGCTGCTTCCAAACTTTTGTACCCACTTGTCGTAAATCCTTTTTACAAGAACGGTTTTGCCAATCCCAGGCATCCCAACAACTCCAACAATACAGGTTTTGTCTTGCTCAAACTCTAACTTCTCTTCTAATTGTTTGAGGCGTTGTTCAATTCCAAATAGAGGTTCATCAAGATCTTCTCTCTGTGTGCTTCCTGATTCCTCGGAAGAAAGATTGTGAACCACTTCCTTCACCTTCTCAATGATAGAGCCGATGAATGAATACTCATCCCTGGACATACAGAAAAGAGAGGAGCACGTTTGTAATTTATAAATACATACACTTTTTGAGTGAAGCACAACATTATAAAGCGAAGCCATGTTGGTTTGGTGGAATCTCAGTAAAAGACAAGAGTCTAGCATAAACTATTGTAGTCTAGAATAAACTATTGTTGTCCGGTTTCCATCTACCTTACATGTCAACATAAAGCTAAGATGTTTCGTCTAGCAAACTAACATGACTCTAGTGGATTTGGGGTGTTTGCTTATCTCGAAGGAGCGAATGGTTTGTCCAAGTTCAAGTTGGTGCACATGCGAAAA